TTGGAGGACACAAAAAGGAACCAGTCACTAACCCTGCCCTGGGGACACCCCATCAAGGGCGGGACCCAGGCCCCCTCACGGGAACACGGGAGGGGGAAGAGTTGGTTCATGGAAACAAACACATGGAAAGATGCTCGGCCTTGTTAGTTAGTCATCAAGGAAATACAAATCAAACTACAATGAGATACCATTTCACACCCACTAGGATGACTGGAATCCAAGAGACAGATAATAACACGTGTTGGTGAGGATGTGGAGGACTCAGAACCCTCGTACACGGCTGGGGGGTATGGAAAGTGATGGTGCTGCTTTAGACAAGTTTTGCAGTTCCTCGAATTATTAAACTAGAGTTACCCTTTGATCCAGCAATTCCACTCCTAGGTATATGCCCAGGAGAAATGAAAACATCTGTTCACATAAAAGCCTGCACACGAATAGTTAGAGCAACATTATTCATAGTGGACAAAGGGTAAAAACTGATTCATGGGTAAACAAAAATGCGGTACGTCCATACAATGGAATATTATTCAGCCATAAAAAGGAATGGAGTACTGATACATGCGATCAGATGGGTGAACCTTGAAAACATGATGCCAGGTGAGAGAAACCAGACACAAAAGACAACATATTGTATTATTCTGTTTATGTGGAATGTCCAGAATAGGCAAATCTGTAGAGACAGAAAGTAGCTCACTGATTGCTTAGGGCTGGGGGATGATGGCGAAAGGGTGTTTCTTTTTGAAATAATGAAATTTCAGGTTGCATACATCTGTGAACACACTAAACCTATTGAATTTTAAGTGGGTGAATAATACCTGAGTTATAGCTCAATAAATATGTCAAAACACAGAAGAGTCAATTCATGGAGCACTGATCACCTTCTACCTTTTAGGACTCCTTGTGGGGTCATGTCTGGATCTTCCCACCAGACTGGAAGTGTCCCCCATAGCAGTGCTGTGTCTGTAAACCCCTATTCCCTAGAAGAGGACCAGGGACACAGTGGGCACTGATTGTTTACTGAGTGAATAAATCAATGTGTATAGCAAACTCCTATTTATATTTCAATACCCTTTAAAGATGACTCCTCATGGAAGCCGTGCATGTCCTGCCCTGCAACTCTCCTTTCAATCTCCTTCCTATGCTTTGCCTCCCTCTGTCATGGCAAATCTCTCTCCAGACCATACTTGGTGAATCAGACTGTGAGCCCTGTAATCCTGGACAGGACTCTTTCCAAATTCACATCTACATCTT